GTTTTCTCCACCAAACTACTGCTGATACCTTCAGATGAAGCCCTGACGACTTTTCCATGCCCTGCCCTGTAATGAGAGTTCCAAGCAGCCCCTGAGGAAGGGAGCTGATTCAGCTGTTGCCGATGTCCACAGACGCCATGTGCTGAAACCCCGTCGAACTGCATCTATATACTTAAGCAGCTAATTTCACTTAATATGAATTATTTATACTAACTTCACAGCTGGTGTGATCCTGAGGTATGCATACCCCCGGAAACTTGGTAAGTCACTAATGTTCGTCTTCATTTGTTGTTAGTTGATCGATTGCAAAGTGAAATTTTGAGCTTACTGTGATCATTTTGAATACTTGAAAATCCTGTCATAGCACCCTTCAGGTAGTTTGTTGCAAACCTTGTCATAGCACCCTTCAGGTAGTTTGTTGCAAACTTTGTAATAGCACCCTTCAGGTGATTTATTAAAAATAGTTAAATAGATTTCGGGCAAGCTCTGGAAATTGGCAATCTTTTCATTTCCCCCAGCGCCCTAATCCTCCAAATCAACAACCACTTCGAACCCCAGAAGTAACATTCATCGTGCATAAAAGTGCATCTACAACCACCCCCCTGGCACGAGGGTAATAGGGTCAAAGGTGGCCTACTTGCTAGGCTTCGCCTCCCCACTACTGTTACTAGACAGCGCATCCGACGTTTGTTGGGGCCCGCTACGAACTTCTTGGCCTCTCTGCAGTCATCTCTCTGTCTCGCCACGCTCTTTCCAGGTCCCTTTGCGCCCATTCAATCAGGTCCTGCTTATGCCTAGCCTAGACTCCGATGCAAGTGAGTCTGGCTTCCAGCCTATTCAAGCAATCAGCTTCCTCGTTGTCCGGCATTCGGCTGTCCGGGGACCCGAAAGAGGGTCACTTGTTTGTATAGCTTTTCTCTAGTCTGAGAGACATTCCACAAGAAATTGACCATATTAACTAGATCCATTACTTCTTTGGTTGGATTTGTGACTCACGTGCTGTTTTGCCCCGTCTTGGTAAAATCAGGCCTTAGGCTCCGTCTTCGCGACTGCTCAATACCCAGGTAACATACGGAACAGATCGTTGTCAATGTAAACCATATGATCCATAAATCTTACTGCGCATTAATCCATGCCGATGGTTGATCTCGTCCGCGTCTCACAAATAATTACTTGAGAGTGCAAACGCACTGTTTACCATCGGTGTAGTTGTTTGGCGCCGACAGCGTTTTAGCCGTGAGAGTTATAATTTGATCGGTCGTGCGGCCGCGGTTAGGCCGAGTCGGCGGGTATGAGACCGGCTTAACCAATCATTAATAGCAATTAGACACCACCGATCGCATTTCGTCATTACACTGTTAAGGTATGCGATTCGCTGAAGTTGAAGCATTTCAGCCCTTTAGGCACAAAAAAGATCAGCCGAGAGAGCAGCCGCTGCCAGTAATCTGTAGAGTAAACGGGAAATATTTACCAAACAGTCCTTGCAATGCCTATAGTTTCTCAGTAATTCCTCTAGCATTACGAAACTCCTCCATAGTTCATTCTAATGCACACTAAATCCTTAGTAATTCCCCTAATTCTCTATAATGTCCAGTAAATGAACAGAAATTTCAACTAGGTACTACGGGGAATTCAAGAAGATTATTCCTTTCGCCGACAAAGCTATATTGTAGTCACTCCAGATGATCAAAATTTAATCATATTTGTATATCAATGTACACCGAAAATGGAGGGTTTTGCGAAGTGAGGGGCCAAGCTATTTTGGTGAGTACTTTCCTAAAATAAATTGTCTGATTTGCTTTTCAAATTCATTGAAATTTAGTGATTTTAATGCCATTATAAAGTCTAACTGCCTGGTGTGTGAGGCACTTATGAAACAGTGAGGTTTTGTGAAGAGGCATTTTGAATGACTCAGTAAGCTGTCTCTCGAGCGGATATTATTTCCAGTGATCAGCTTTTTCTTTAAAAACTAGGTAATCGGAGTAAGCAAGAGCTTACCAGTGTAAGTTAGTATGTGTAACTCATATAATAGCTCTCTCACCTTAAACCATCCCAAGTCTTACACGGGCATATTTTCTCGAATATTTTATTAGTCTGCAACATGAATTTTGAATTTCTTGTAATCGTGAAAGAATATTGCATCTAAAAATGGATTGCAAGCTATATCACAGTAAGTAATTTTGGACATAATTAATGATTAATAATAATAATTAGTTCGATAATCGAGAATTTGCTTATTATCCAGATATAACGTAAGATCGGAAAGCAGCTTTCAGTAACTCTGCTTAGTTGAGGAATGTATATGAGACACGCATGAAACAGAATTCCCAAGTTTTTGACTGCTTCATTAATTATGATAGTAGCACCGTCTAAACTAACATTAAGGTAGTTTTTAACAAGATTTCTGAAATGTTTAGGCGATAAATGGTCACTATTGATTTTGAAGGATTTATTTGTGGGTTTTGCATATAATAATTAATAATGTTTATTGACCAAAATGCAAATGAATGATTCTAAAGCAAATATTTTAGACTGATAAATAGGAGATAAAACCAGCAGATACACGGATATGCCCGATTGTATAAGAAATAAATTGCCAAGAGTACATAAAAATGATTTAGAATGGCATAAGGTTTACAGATAATATTAAACTTAAGATATTACATGAAATTTACGTAGTATCTGACACAGTAAGTGTAGGAATAATTTCAGTTGATCATAAATTATTTATTGTTACATATTGAGATATAAGATACATTCTCTCTGTTGTCAGAATCGGGATTAGTACTATACTATCACTGCACAAAAGTCCCGGAACGACTCTGTATTTTCTCGGGTAAGGTATTTTTGGAAAATACAAGGTCAGGTCTTCAGTAACTTTCAGCAAGGAATTCAACGGTGACCTTGAATTTGACCTTGACCTTCACTTTCAGGGTTAATTTATGGTGAACTTTATATTTTCAAAAGCAAATCATATTTTTGATGCCGGCAATCGAAGGAACAAAACATTTTACGTTCAAACAAAATCAAGGGCCAAGTTCTGGATGACTACTAAAAATTAAACCAGGATCAAATATGTGCTGCTAGGAAAACCTCTATAAATCTCATAGGACGAGTAAGGAAAATAACTGTCAAGGCCAGGCCTTTGGTAAATTTTAACGAGGAAGTGAACGCTGACATTGGATTTTGCTATTTTGCTATACCTTCACCTTCAAGGTTATTTCAAAGTCAACTTCATTTTCAAGTGCTCAAAATTTTACGTCTAAATATGAGTCCAGTACCAAGGTCATGGTGACCACTAAAGGTCAAATGGAGGTCAAATGTGTGCTGACACTATGAATCTTACAGGATTAGTGGCGAAAATAACTATCAAGGTCTATCTATCTTTAGTAAATTTTGACGAATGATCCTGGAATTGACATTGAACCTCACCTACAAGCTCATTTCAAAGTAACATTTTTTTCCAATACAAATCCGCAGGAACAGATTCGATTGAAAATGATTTATTACGAGCACCGTAGTTTCCTCGTTAAAGCTGACCCAAAGTCAGGGACTTTTGTGTCATGCTGTATATTAACATATATATTATCCCGTCTTTTACTTTTGTTTTAAATGTGTATTTGGAGTAAGTGAGTTTCAGATCTTGTGGAACGAGATGGTAACATTTTTCTGGTTTTCGGACCTTCATATGATTCTTTTTGCTGGTGTAGTAAGGATGCAACGTATCTAGAATTGGGAAACAAGCTTCGTGTTGCACAGTCAAAACTTTTAATAGATATAATTGTTTTATATCGCCAGTTTCCTCATACAGCTGGACAGCTGGATTTGATTTAGGTTTAAGCAATATAATATTTTAAATCCTTTTTTGCTTTACCTATAGTTTAAATATATGAGCTGTGTTTGCTGCCCCTACGTTACTATGCTATAGTTCAAGTGGGATTCCACCAATGCATAGTTTGATGTTTTCAATTGGCAGGATTAAAGTACATATGCATGAATTGATTTTATCTAATCGTTCATATTCATTGTACAACAAGCTTAGGCTATGGTAGTGATAATAGTCAATGCAGCAATTTGTCGTCAACATCGTGTTGTTTCTGTTGCCAAGAGCAACAATGCGCTCTCGGTGGTGTTATGATCCGAAAGCGCAAATGAGCATGACCTGCGCATTACTTGATCATCTAAAACGGTTCATAGGATTTTTCGAAACGTCCGTCGGCCGGTACAGCTCCATCCGTCAGATACGGATCTCGCCCTGAGCAAAAAACCGACCATAGCAGCTCGCGATTAGACCGAGATTATCCGGAATTTCAGTAATTAACCATTAATTATGCATTTAATAAATTCCGAGGGCTTACCAATAATTACCGTAAAGATAATTTTGCTCCGGTAACCCGATAATATTCCACATAAAATCGTGACAAAGCCTCAAGTAACAAATTAATGAAATTATGAATTATGAAAATGATCGCCCCGCCGCACTTGAAGTACAGCCGGCCAGGCAATTGCTCGCTATTCTTGGGTCGTTTGGATAGCAATTATTCTTTAGGTCTGTCTCACCTATACTGGTACGATTAAAGGGTATCCTGATTGCGCTTCTTGCCCCATCGTAAAGATACTCTCCGTTAAAATTGATGAAATATTTGCCTACTTGCTGCAGTCATGTAAGTCTCCTAAGAACGTTAATTTCCTGGTTGCTGATTATCCAAGATGAACTGGATCAACAAACTTGTATTAAACAATTATGGAGAAATATTATTAACTCATTTAGCAAAGCTCAGCTGATGCTTGGCTGCTCTATTATGATGATACTAATATACTTGACTTGAGAAGATAAACCCGCGCGCAAGCGATCATCAGTCTTTGTGGGAAATGATTAAAGAACAAACAGTGAATTAAGTAAACATTTCATTATAGTATTCCATGCAATGGTGGGTTTTGCAAGCGACAAAAATCAGAAAAATAAAGTCGTTTTCAAGGAAAAAACAAGTTTGCGAAAAATGGATTTGAAGTATTAAAAGCAACACAAATTTGATTAATATTTTATTTTAGAAAATTTCAACGCAGGTTTAGTAAAATTGACCAATAATTATTTAGAATCTCTAATAGACTTAGCCATGCCAGTTGGTGTAAGCGCAGATCTTTTTTATGTAAGATATATTTAAGAAATATCCAGAACTGGGAAGAGGAAAATGATGGAAATTATAAAATAAACTTAATAAAACTGTTCACGAATGCAAAATACTTTTATTAAAACCATCCCGTAAAAAGATTAATAACCATTTACACACAACATTTTATAAGACATTGTAAAGATGTCATATATACTGTAACTTGTTCTCCATCCTTTTTCTCAGTAAAAAGGTTTTATTTGAAACAAATTTACTTCCAAAAAGAAAGTCCCTTTATTTGGAGCTTATTTTAGTTCTAAAAGCTACAGGTGCATTTTCGGTGATTAAGGCTTATGTTACTAAGAACCTTTCAACTTGTCTATTGTTAGTTTTTTAAAAATGATGACCTCATAAAGCCAAAACATCCAAAAATAAATAAAACATTCCATATCATACTAAAATTATCATGTACAGTAGATAACATAAAAAACATTCCAAATATTGAAAAGAAAACGTTCTGTTACAATGTATACAATGTATGATGCCGAAAGGCCGAACATTTGTCACCGAGTGATGTCATGCACAAAGGGTGTACGAAATTCGATCGCGATGTGATCTTCTCGAGTTATAGCATCATGCTCTCCAATGCAAACCTTTGACCTATGACCTTCTAGAAAATCTGATATTTACACATATTTTATAAGAAATTGTAAAGATGTCATATATACTGTAACTTTTTCTACATTTTTTTCTGTATAAAAAGGGTTTATTTGAAACAAATTTACTTCAAAAAAGAAAGTCCCTTCACAAAATTTTAGTTTAAACAGCTACAGGTGCATTTGCAGTGATCAAGTCTTATCTTCTTGAGAACCTTTCAGCTTGTCTGTTGTTAATTTTTCAAAAATGATAATACCATAAAGGTAATTATTGTGTATAATGATAAAAATTAAATTGTATTGCCAAAACATCAAAATATAAATTCCAGAGATTAAAAAGAAAACGTTCTATAGCAATGCAGTTGGTACCGAAAAGCCAAACATTTGTCACCGAGTGATGTCATGCACAAAGGCGTACGAAATTCGATCGCGATGTGATCTTCTCGAGTTATAGTATCATGCTCTCCTACGCAAACCTTTGACCCATGACCTTCTAGGAGGGCCTTGCGGATAACTGATTTCTTCTTTGGTGCTAAGATATTTGTCAGAACTGATAGGTTTCATCTCTACCCTACCATACCAACACAGGTGTTTCTCAAGGAATGGTGACAGCTTCTACCTGCAAATAGTTCGCCAAAGCTTGATACTTCTGCGGCTCATATACCGAAAATGCAGAATGCCCTTACGATGCTGGCCCGCACTCCTTGCACAGAAGTATACTGAGTTTGACAGTAAATCTTGTTTGCTTTCTGTTTTTCTGTCTCCAGACCTGTCTACTGCACTGATGATTACTAACAACCACGAAACAACTTGGTATGCATACCATTAATCTGTGTTAAGCTTGGTCGTGATTACCGAGAAGGAAAGCAGATTCATTTCAGCTTATGTCTATGCAATTTTTGCATAGTACGCCAATGCTGGTGGCTTTGAGAATACTTCGTATTTCGGCTGATTGACGGCATCTCCATTCAATTGTGCTTGTACTTAATTTACTTAAACTGGATCTGGTGCAGATGAGAAAACGTGATGAGGTCATCGGGGAGTTTTGGATGACGCCACTAAAGTTGAAGTTTTGGGTCGTTTTGGTATAAATCCTGATACTTCATTACGCAAAATTGTTGCTGCGACTGGTATTTCATTAGGTTCTGTACACATAGTTACTCAGCTCACTATGTTCTTCTGGTTCGGCAATGGCTAGACGACGAGTTTCCAGATCAACGGATAGAGCGATGAGGGCCTATAGAATGGCCTGCTAGATCCCCTGATTTGACGCTTTAAGATTCCCAACCTGAAAGTTTGAATGAGCTTCGTCAACGTATCATCGAAAGCCGCCATGATATCTCACAACATGTTTTTGAAAATGTCCGTCAGGGCAACATTTTGAACGCTTATTGAAACAAAAAGTGATATTGTCGTGTGATTTTGTTTTCTATCTGAACAAATTAAGGTAATCAACGGAATTTCTAATTTTCTTGAAAACGAATTGACCGATTTTGGAAAATCAGACGTCAGAATAAAGGACTTTGAAAGACCTTTCATTCAAGCTGTTACTCAATACCCCTTGTCATTTAAAAATTTTAAGGGGATGACCCTGAGGGCAGAGGGTGAAAGGGGGTGAAGTAGTTTTTGATTAATAAGTTGTCTTCCTTGACAAATCTTTTGACGTGTCTAGGCGTTTTTTCTTTTGATCAGTGGTTTTTGATACATTCGTGGTGAGAAGTTTTCAAATGAACACCCTGTATATCTTTATTCATTATCATTTTATGGGGGTATAGTTTTACCACTGTTTATTTTATATTTTACATTGATGCCACATATTAAGTAGGTATCCGTTTATAAGTGAAAAACTACGAGGGATGTCTTTTAAGTTTTGCATATAGAAACATAGTAGGCCGCGCGGATCGAACGTCAGTACTGAATCTTAACCTCACTCTTTAGTAAACTTAACTTCAAAGTTTCACAACAATACGTGCAGTGTTCTCACTACAGTGTCACCAAGTCATTAGAAAAATGGAACTCAACCAAGAACATTTTCGCGCCAGAATTTATTAAAACTTTTAGAGACAATTATCGCAACAAGAATGCCTTGCTGAGTTACTGTCTGTTTTCGGCAACGAAGCACCACATCAGTGGACCATTTCCCGTTGGTATGGAGAATTCAAACGTGGACCGAGTGACGAATCCAGGGTGGGTGCACCAAACACGGCAGCTACCCAGGAAGACGTCGATGCTGTGCGAAAACTCATCATTGAAGATGAACATGTGACATATGGCGAGATTGAGGCGTCCTTGAAGATCTTAAAGACCTCAATTCAAAAAATTTTACACGAAGAATTAGGAGTAAGAAAATTAGTTTCTCGTTGGATACCCCACCTGTTGACTGAAGAGCAGAAAGCAGCCAGGGTTAATTGGTGTCAAGAAACGCTTGAACGTTTCAATGCCGGAAACTCAAAAATGTGTTCAGCATTGTTAGTGGTGATGAATCGTGGATTGGTATACCACCATTTGTTTGCCAAAAGTCATCACCGAGCTTCGAAAAATCAACCCCGAAAGAAGAATCATCCTCCACCAAGACAATGCAAGCTCGCATATAACCCAAAAAACAAGGCAGTATTTAACGGAAGAAAACGTGGAATTATTGGATCATTCTGCATATAGTCCCGATCTAAGTCCTAACGATTTCTTTACTTTCCCGAAAATTAAAAACAAACTGCGTGGTCAAAGGTTCCAGTCACCTGAAGAAGTAGTTGACACATTCAACAATGCCGTTTTGGATCTGCCAGCAAACGAGTGGAATAAGTGCTTCGAAAATTGGTTCGAGCGTATGCAGATGTGTATCAATCTTCGTGGAGAATACTTCGAAAAACAATAAAGTCATTTAAAACTACCTACCGTGTTGTTTTATTTCCATATGCAAAACTTAAAAGACATCCCTCGTATCTGCAGGTATCTATAGTATATTTGCCCCTTGTTTTTGTTATCCTATTTTTGTCTATTTTATGCCAATAAATGTTTGATTACTTGATCGATTGACCTTACTATGAAAGAATTGACTCATTGATTTAATTTTCTAGACCTAGATCATCTAGATGTTCTCATTGATTTCTCCTTGTTTACTAGAATATTATTTCCCTTTATGTATTAGTCTTCGGTATTTAGTCGAAATGAAGTGAAATTCTGAATAGAAAAGTCGAAGCATCTTGAATAAGAACAACAAACACTTATCATGAAGTGGAAGTAGTATTACAATACGCAGGACCCATCAATGGGACGCCTTAAAAATTGTAAAACAAATTCCAAGAACCATTTGTAATAAAAATGCCTTCTACTTATAATCTGTGATAAATCCAACATCTTTACTTTAGATATGGAAATGTATGCAAATTATCTTAACAAAATGAAACACCTAAACAAAGGGGGATAAAATTAAGAGGTTAGAGAGATGCTGTAGGAAGATAACACCCACCCCTATTTAAAATTCATACCTGGCTACTGACGATTATGATCTTACCAGAAATTTGAGAATGAAGACGGATACCCGATGGAATTCTATCTTATTATGATGTTGTGGGTGATGTATTTCGGTTGATATCATCGGAGACGAGCTTCTATGAATTTTAATTATTTAAACCGAAACTAAATTAATTTTATTCATCATCGTTGATATATCCGTCAATGTACAAGTTGGGTACGTAAAGTGGCTATCCTTTCCAGGCCGCAACCGCGAAGGCAAAGCTTGAATACCACCACGCCTAATATAATGGAGTTAAGAAGAGCTTGTTGATGAGTATTTTTGAACCAGTTAAGATTAGTAGTATCGGAAGAGTTCGAGAGTCCGTTATACCTCCGTGATCCTATAAGGAAAGGATGGTCGTACCGGTTCGTTGTGCACGATGAGTTGAAATAAAATAAATACAGGGTGCGGCAGAGAGGACGGACGTTTTTGGTATGGGTAGTACTCTCCTCATCCGTCTACGAGAGAGGTGGGGAGGGTGCCGTTTGACTCGTGAGATCCTAGCATTATTTTACCAGTTGTCATGATGGAGCCTTGGACGGCGGAGCACCGCGTTTTCGCCTATGATTGTTTCATCCGAAATAATGAGTCAGTCATCGTCGTACAGCGTGAGTTTCGTCGCCACTTCAACATTCATAGGAACAGAGCTGTTCCCTCTCGAAACACCATCCTTCGTTGGGTTGAATCACTTCGCAGGCGTGGTGAACTGATCAACAGAAGACCAAGAGGAGCGCCGCGAACAGTTCGAACTCCTGAAAATGTTGAACGCGTTCGACTCGATCTGCCCGGAAACATGCTGCTACACTTCACCTTAGTGATCGTTCGGTAAGGCAAATTTTGCATATGTATCTCCGCTTTCACCCCTACAAATTGGCCAACGAATGAACTTCGCACGTGAGATGGGAGCACTGATCGATCAGAATCATCATCATTTTACCAGCTGTCGTTATAGAGCCTTGGACGGTGGAGCACCGCGTTTTCGCCTATGATTGTTTCGACCGAAATAATGAGTCAGTCATCGTCGTACAGCGTGAGCTTCGTCGCCACTTCAACATTCATCGCTGTTCCCTCTCGAAACACCATCCTTCGTTGGGTTGAATCACTTCGCAGGCGTGGTGAACTGATCAACAGAAGACCAAGAGGAGCGCCGCGAACAGTTCGAACTCCTGAAAATGTTGAACGCGACTCGATCTGCCCGGAAACATGCTGCTGCACTTCGCCTTAGTGATCGTTCGGTAAGGCGAATTTTGTATATGGATCTCCGCTTTCACCCCTACAAATTGGCCATTGTGCAACAGTTACAGCCCGGAGATTATGCACAACGAATGAACTTCGCTCGTGAGATGGAAGCACTGATCGATCAAAATGAGAACCTCATTTTGTCTTATGGGGACACCTCAAGGCTAGAGTATACGTGAACAAGCCTCGAACTCTGGACGAATTGAAGGGCTAAATTCGCGTGGAAGAGCGATGTTGGAGAGAGTCTACGCGAACTTCCAAGAACGCCTCCAGCACTGCATCAACGATTTCGGCCACCACATGGCTGATGTGATTTTCCACACTTGACTGTGTCAAATTCTATTTCATTGTGAACCTGATTCCACCAATAAATTTGTTTTCGAGTAAAAATTAACTATTTTATGATTTTTTTAAAACCGTCCATCCTCTCTGCCGCACCCTGTATAAAAACATGGTGACAAGCCAGCTTAGCAGACCTAAAAAATGTCGGCATCATGAGGTGAGCTCAGCAGAACAAATTACTTTTGTTATGAAGGGCATATTATTGAGAGGATATATTTTAACCGTGAATAGGAAGCACTGAGGGGGTTATAGAGATAACCTATAGTTTATATATTATATAAACAGGGTATTTTATAGATATCTTTATAGCCTCAGAACTTGTCAAGTGCGCTGTATATTCTTTTGGCTTCTATTATGATAGCAACAGAAAATAAACAGAGGTCCAGATTCGTTGAATCTGTACAAATCCGTTCTTCCTGAAAACAGCACCCTGTATGTTGCAATACTGCATTTCTTTTACATATTTGAAAAAATCATAAATAGTGAATTATAACGATCCCTCTTTGTTCTCTGAGCATTTGGCTTTGTACGAGTTGGAGATACTGATTTTGTTCATTTTTAAGATAGAAGCTGAGATCCTGGAAGATCAATTGATTTTCTCATTTACTATTCAAGAATATAGGTGCTATGTCTGCGTTAGATTTTGAAGAACGTCATCTTATCTATCAGCAACTCCTCGTAGACCCATAAAGACATACTTTTAGGTTCGTGTTAAGTACTAACTGTTGGCGTTTGCGGATCAAAATATTCTTTGTTCAGGAAATCTCTCAAATTTACATACACTGTTGTTGCACAGCCGAAGCATCATAGGTCGTGTAAACGGCAACATTGTACGGTATACGACGAAGCTACTTATTTTCTGGTTGATTGGATTTGTAATTATATAAAAATGAGTAATTGTATTTATTTTCCCGTTCACAATAGATTTGATAGGACGCGAACCAACTTTCCAAAAAAGATGCAGGACTTTTTCTAGATCTCGACCATTTCTTTATTTCTTTACAAGTTTCCAACCTCCCTATATTTTATTTGAAGGTTAGTACCCAGATTACTCTATCGAACAGATTGTAAACAAGAAATGGAATACAGGTCAGGACTCGAATTTCCGGAGCATATATATCTTTTTGGATGCCACCGAGCCAATGCTACTTTGTACACTGCCTAAGATGCACGGGCTGTGTATTAACCATGGAAACATACAGTTTGTGTAAACTTGAGTGAATTCCGTAGTAAAAATGTCCTTAATCCGTGGGTACGCAACCGCCAGCCGTTAGTTCCTGATAGGAACCTGCGAGGTATGATTTGGTTGACCTTGATGATGAATGGATCAACAAGATTGACCTTCTTTTAAATGTAACACTAATTTAGTAGAGGATAAAGTTAATAGACACTCCAGGTGCCCGCCTTGTAGTCGAGAATCAGTATTCTCAACTCATACAAAATCGTCTACCCAAAGAACAAAATTGGATCGTAAGAATGAACTTTTAATGTTTTATATATATATATATATATATATATATAGCATGTTTTCAGGTAGAACGAATTTGTGAATGTTTAGTCTGTTTGTATCGATAGAATTAGCGTAGATAATAAATTAGCTCTTGAGACATACGGCTCTAAACCAAGCTCCAAAACAAACATCTGAAATTTGTCTAACATGAGGAGGTTGTGTCTAACAGATACCTTAGTTTCTTACAAGATGAAGAATTAATATGTTCGTTCAAAATAATCTTGCTGGTAATTTTTACTCTCACAAGTTTGAGCGAAGCTTGGCAAAGCTAGATATCTGTCAGGAGAGGACGCCTGTTTAGCTTTAATAGTTTGCTGCCTTATTCACACTTCCAATTAATCTACAACAATGGAATTCAGACTAGGTAGAAGGATCAAGTTCACGATTTGTTTGTCACCAAAATTATGTAGTCGGTGTTCATGATGCAAGCTCATAGTACAAATCGATCAGGCTTAAGCCGTCAATTTGACAGGTATTGACATGTCTCATAATTTCGTTCTTATTTTCGTCAAAGTGTATTTTATCCATCAGCTTTCCATTAATGAGCATCCTAATTATGACTGTCAGAAAGCGGACTCATTCTAATTGTTTATAAGGCAAAAATTGATGTACATTTGGTGATGCTTTTTTACATGGTTAGTATAATAAAATCTTTTGATAAGATACAAGTACACTTCCTCCATCTTTTTTTTCTTGATATTGAGCACCACAAAGGCTTCAACTTTTGACTGTTATTTAAGATTTACGGTTATGCATTTTCCAGTAAAAGATTCTACATATAGCAACATAACAAAATGACAGTGTAGGGTCCTATTTTGAAGGTATTTTCATCTCCAACAACTTTTTTTGAACCATTTGCACTATCAACTCATAACTATGTGAATATTTGAGAAAAACTGTTTGTTTTCAACTTTCGGCGAGGAACATTTCGGTATACCTTCAAGAATATAATTGCGTCGTAAAACACCTCATTAGATTTTTTGTCTCTCAAATTCCGGGTCTATAGTACGAGCATAAAAGTGGACACGTCGGTGGGCATCAATATAAGCGAAACAATGTCCAATTACGGTGTGGTTCTTCCTAAAGTACAAAGTATATTATGTTAATTCAAGGCGCTGTAACTCAATTTGATAGATTTGTATGTACAGGGTGCGGCAGAGAGGATGGACGGTTTTAAAAAAATCATAAAATAGTTAATTTTTACTCGAAAACAAATT